GAAGGGGAGGAAAGCAAGGGACTAGGGGGTAAGGAGTGCAGGGCTTGGACACTATCACCAAGAGGTGGAGGCGGGGCTTGGGCGCTGCTGGGGGTTTATGCCGCAGCACCCTGTGTGTTAAGGATCACACAGGTGTTGGTTGCAGGGCATCACACAGTGTCGGGTAGTCTTCGTTCCTCTGGGGTCTCACAGTCTTCGTTCCTCTGGAGTTCCACGATTGGTGGCTGGCTGTTGTTCTTCCCGGGTCTCTTCCCGGCCCCTCTCGCAGTGGAACCCAGTCTGGTGGCGGTGTTTTCCTGTCTGGTGGAGGCGCTTTCTCGCTGCATCACTCTTGCTGGCACTGCATCGCTCTCGCTGGCGCTGCATCTAGGAACTTAATCTTTAGACGGTCCGTTCACCAATTTTATCCTCTCTAGATTGTGCATTTTTGGCTGTATTTGGCAGCCTCTTTATACCATAGACTAGGTCAGTTTGTCTCTGATGAACTTTATGGGTGTGGGCTTTACTCCCAGATCTCTGATTCTACGTGAGTTAATTTTTGTGTATGGAATGAGATGTGGATCCTTTTTCAGCTTTCTGTAATTAACAGTCGAATTTTTCTAGCACCATTGGTTAAAGAGGTTGTCATTTCCCAAGTTGATAGATTTTATTTACTATTGAGTATCAGTTGACCATAGATAGTTGAGTCTTTCCGGGTTCTCAATTCTGTTCCATTGGTTTATGTGCCTGTCATTGTACAAGTACCATGCTATTTTTGTTACTACAGTTGTGTTGTAGATGTTGAGGTCAGGGTGTGTTATGCCTCCCACTTCATTTTTCTCAGAAGTGTTTTTGTTATTTAGGGTCTCTTGCCTCTCCAACTAAACTTGGAAACTTATCTTTTGCTTTCCTTTAAAAATGAATTTGGTATCTGTGCTGAGAATGCATTGAACATGTAGATTGCTTTTCGTAGGATTGTCATTTTCACAGTATTGAGTTTTCCTATTCATGAACAGGGTTTTTCCATTTATTTAGTTCTTTTGTTATGTTATTTTCAGGTTTTTGTAGATTTTTTTTTTGTATAGGAGTTTTTTTATCTCTAGTTAGTTTCACTCCCTAGTTTCTCAGTTTCTTTTTGGCTATTGTAATTGGTACTGATTTCTTGGTTTCCTTCTCTGAGTTCTTTTTGTTACTGTAGAGTAATCCCACTGATTTTTGGATGTTGATCTTATATCTAGCCACTCTATTAAACTGGCCTTCTAACTCTAAAATGATTTTGGTGTGGGTTGTTTTGTTATTGTTGTTGTTGTTCTTGAGTTTTGTGGGTTTTCTGTATACACTATATATCATCTACATAGGGCAATAGTTAACCATCTCTTTGCTGATCTGGATGACTATTATTTCCTTCTCTTGTCATATTGCCCTAGCAAGCACTTCGAATACAATATTGAATAGAAGTGATGACAAGGGCATCCTTGTCTGGTCACTGTCTACAAGGAAAATCTTAGTATATCTCCGTCAAGAATGATGCTGACTTTTTGTTTTGCATATATGCATTTCACTATGTTGAGGAAATTCCCTTCTATTCCAATATTTCTGAGTGTCTTTATTAGGAAGTGGTGTTGGATGTTGTCAAATTCCTTTTCTGCATAAATTGCTGAAACCATTTGGTTCTTGTAGTTTACTTTGTTAATATTGTGAATTATGTTTATTGTTTTTCTTATGTTGAACCATCTTTGCGTACCTGTTAGGAATCCCACTTGGTCGCAGTAAATTATTTTTATGTGCTTTTGTATTTTATTGGCTACAATTTGAATAAGGATTTTTTATCTATATTCATAAGTGATACTGGTCTGTAGCTTGCTTTCTTGGTAATATCTTTGCCTGCTTTTTGTCTTAGGGTTATGCTTGCTTCATAGAATGACTCTGGGAGTGTTCCTTCTTATTCAGTTTTTTTCAAATAATTAAAGTAGAATTGGTGATATATCCTCTCTGAATGTATGGTAGAGTTCAGCTGCGAGGCCATATGGTCTAGGACTTTTCTTATGAAGAAGTCTTTTTATAACCTGTTCAATTTTTTTCTTTTATAATGAGTCTGTTAAAGTGTTCTATATCTGACATTGTTAATCTGGATAGGGCGTAAGTTTCAAGAAATTTGTCCATTTCCTAAGTTTCTGAATTTATCAAAGTATACCTTTTCATAGTTCTCAGACACTATCAATTTAATTTCATCTTCTTTTTAAATTTTATTTTATTAATTTTAATGAACATTTACAGAGATTTTGGATTTTCATTCATGCATTGTTGCACTTTTTTTTTTACCCCCCTCCCTCCAGTTCGCACCTCTCTTTGAAAAGCAAAAGATAAACTTCTTGGTTGGGATACAATCTCCCTTCCACCCCGACCCACACCCTGTTCCCCTCCCCCACCCCACCCCAAATGTACTCCACTGTGCAAACTTAATTCTGGATTCCTGTGATAATCATAATATTCTATCATATATCTCTTTTAAACTGTTCTCTCCCTCATCTGTTTCCATTCAGTATACATAATTTAATATTCTTCTGTTGTGAGGTCATCTCTCTCATTTCTTAACTGTGTCTTCCCTCCCCCCCACCCTGCGCCCCCTGTTGTTACATTTGACAGTGGTTTGGTAATTTTATTGACACTTTCGAAAACCCATATCCTGGTCTTATTGAAGGTTCAATTTTTTTCCGTTTTCTATTTCAATGATACTAGCTCTGTCCTTATAATTTCTTTTCTTCTAAAGGCTGTAGAATTAGCTTGTTGTTCTTTTTGCTATTTGATTAAGTTATTGAGCTGGGTCACTGATTTTTTTTTTCTTTGTGTCTTCCATTTTTATGTGTGTGCCTATTGCTATGAAGTACCCCCTGTGTACTCACTGCCTTAGCTGTAGCCCAGAGATTTTGGTATGTTTTATTTTCATTTTCATTTGTTTCTAAGAACTTTACGATTTCATTCTTTATTTCTTTTATAACCCAATCATGTTCTAGCAGAGAGTTATTTCACTTCCTCCTGGGTGGTTTTGTAAGCTTTATCCTCCTGTGGTTAATTTCAAGTTTTATGGCATTGTGATCTGAGAAGATACTTTGTATTATTTCAATTTTTTTAATTTTGTTGAGGCTTTTTTTCTGTGTCCTAATATGTGAATAATTCTGGAGAATGAACCATGTCTACTTGAGAAGAAAGTTAATTGAGTTTTATTTGGGCATAGTACCTGGAATAAATCTGCAATTTCAAATTGGTTGAATGTATAGTTTAGATCTTCTTCATGTTTGTTGAGTTTCTTTTGGGTTGATATATCCTTGGGTGATAGTCGTGTGTTGAAATTTCCTATCACTATTGTGGTGCTGTCTATTTCTTTCTTCATTTCTAGTAACTCCTGTTGTATGTATTTTGTAGGTCTATCCTTTGGTGCATAAATGTTGACAAAGGTTAAAGGTCTTCTTGATCTATTACGCCTTTAATCAGTATGCAATGCCCTTCTTTATCTTTCATGGTCTGAAATCTATTTTACCAGAGATTGCTATTGCTATTCCTGCTTTATTGAGGTTTGCCACTTGCTTGTTATATTTTTTTTCCAGCCTTTTATTTTGATCTCTCTCTCTCTTTTATTTTAGATGTGTCTCCTGTAGGCAACATTTTGATGGGATTTTTGTTTTGTTTTGTTTTGTTTTTATTTAAAAAAATTATTCTGTTACTCTTTTTCTCTTAATTGGCACATTTAGTCCATTCACATTAATACTGAGTATTGCATTTTCTTTCGTAGCTGTTCAAGTTGTTCCTCATCAGTTTATTTCTTCTGGATACTCTTTGCAGTATTTTATTTTCTTAATTGTTTCTTCCATAATTTTCGTCTTCTTTTTCAGCTGTTCAAGTAACTCCACATCAAAATATTTATTTGTGTTCTCTATCTCAGATATTCATTTGATCTGATTTTTAGCAGAAGGGTTGTTTTGTTTTTTTCATGGGGGGAGGGAGAAAAGTGCAAAAAATGAATGAATGGAAATCCAAAGTTAGTGCAAACTTTCATTAAAATTAATAATAATAAAACAATTTAAATATTAAAAAATGAGGGAAACTGCTGCTTTCTTGACATTATAGGAATCTTTTATTAGTAGATAGTAAGTCATTGTAACTATCTAGTGACCCAGAGTATGACAATGTTTTATGAAGGATCAGTATATTTGTTCTCCCTTCTTGTCCAAGAGCAGTGTTTCCCCAAAGTACCTGAATGGGAAATCAGGAAACCAGTTGCTCCCTTCGGGAACTGGCATATCTTCCTCACTAGAGCTGTTCGAGCTGTCCTGCTCCCTTCCACTTGAGCTTAAGGGACCCTGTGTGGTGCAGCTAAACAGCAGTGTTTCCCCCAGAGAACTGTGAATGACACACCATGCCTTCTTCCTGCGATGCTGTGCCTCTTCCTGCTGTGCAGCACTTCTTCCTGCCACTGTAGTCAGTTTTTATTGCATGTTGTTGTTAAGTGCCGTCGAGTCACCTGTGACTCATATTGACCCTGTGTACAAAAGCCCTAAACCTGCTCTAACCCTTCTCAATTTTATTGTCTCTGAAATAGCTATCCTCATTACATGAGTGACTGAATCAGTCCATCTCCTTGAGAGTCTTCCTCTCCTGAGCTGTTCCTCCACCCTTCCAAGCATGACATTCCTCTCCAAGGACTGATCCCACCTTGCAACATGTCCAAATTATGTCAGACGAAACTTCAGAAACCTTTCCTCCAAGCACCCTCTCCAGGATGGACTTGGTTTTCCTAGCAGTAAATGGTATATTTGGTACTCTTCTCAAAGGCATCAACTCTCCTTCTATCCTCCCTAGTCATGGTTCAGCTCTCTGATGCATCGCAATTAATTGCAAAGACCGTGGTCTGTATAAGGTGCACCTTAGTCTTCAGACTGACATCGTTGCTCTTCAGTACTTTGGTGAGGTCTCTAACAGCAGACTTTCCCTATGCAATTTGTCTTTTAATTTCCTGGGTGCTGGTACCAAGAGTGTTGATTGTAGATCCAAGCAAACTGAAGCTGTGAACAATCTCAATCTCTTCATCATTTATCATGATGCTGCCAATTGGCCCAGTGGTGAGAATCTTTGTTATTGCATATACTATATATTTATATACAATTATGGAACTCTGGTGGCCTAGTGGCAAGGTGCTATGCTGCAGTCCCAAAGGCATGCAGTTCAAATCGACCACCTGCTTCTTAGGAAAAAGATAAACAGTCTCCTCTTTTGCAAGTAACTACCTCTGAAAGTCCACCAAAGGGTTATGTACAGGTCAGACCAGACTCAACAGGACACAAAAACAACAACAAACAACATTGTACTGTGGTGTCTAGTATACTTATTTC